CTTTCCATAGTGGTGGTTCTTCAGTATTTTTCAGATAGGGTCTCACATTTTTTGCCCGGGCTGGCTTGGACCACAATCCTACTTATTCTTTGACCATGACTGGCCTCATTATTACTTTTTGATATATTAAACTGACTCTAAATTAATATTGCTGCCTTATCATTCCTGGGAGCAAAAAGTAAAACAAAAAAAAAAGAGGTGGGGAGCAGTAGCTTAGTGGTAGAGCACCTGCCTAGCATACATGAGGCTTTGGGTTTGATCCCCAGAATCACAGGAAAAAAATAAAACTTTGATAATGTTTGGTATTTACTACTTTTGGTGAATTATAGCTGTAAAACATATTCAATCAGTAGAATTAAAATATATTGTTGTCACGAGAGACTCAGAAACAAAAATGATACAAGAATGATACAAAGATGACACATCTATACCAACTACATGGGAAGTGGCTAGGAAGATTAAGGCTTAAGAGCACCTCAGGCAAAAAGTGAGACTCTTATCTCAAAGAACAAGCTAGGCTTAGTGGTACACGCCTCTAATTCCAACTACAAGGGAGGCAGAGGTATATGGATTGTTGTTCAAGAATAGTACTAGGCAAAAATGTAAGACCCTATCTGAAAATTAACTAAAGCAGAAAGGACTGGAGGAGTGGGACAAGTGGCAGAGCAAGTACAAGGCCCTAAATTCAAAACCCTAGTACAGGCAAAAAAAAAAAAAAAAAGTTTTCACAGCTTTGAGTCTCACAACTGCAGAGAAAAGGAGAAACATCAAAGTAGTGTCTGAGAGAAAGTGATAGAAGATCATCCATTCATTCCACTATACCTTGGTGAGCTTACTAGGGGCCAGGTGCTGGGGAGGGAATACAGGAGTGAAGCAGACAAAACCCTCTCTTTAAGGAGCTGGCACCCCAGTTAGGAGTAATCAGAAAATAAAAAAGAACGTTAGCAGTCGCAGCAGAAGGAGGTCGTTACATAAATGCTAGAGGAAAAATAAGGTGGGAAATGGAGGCAGGTTGCTGTGTATGTATGATGTGGTTGTGTGTGTCTGGAGAAAAGTATTCCAACAAAGGGAACAAAAAATAGCAAGGCTCTGAGACTAAGCACGCTCAACCATGTGAAGACTGGTCACGAAGCTCACGGAGGGGAGCCAATGGAAAGGGAGAAAAGTTAGAGAAGATACCAAAACACGTGCAGGACTGTGTAAGTCCCCAAGATCATGACAATCAAAACCATATGGGTCATTTTAAGCTCTCAGGATTTTATGCTGAACGTGGTAAGAGATTACTGACAGATGTTGAGTGACCTGACTTTCATTTTCATAAGATTGTTCTGGATACTGTGGGGAAAATAGATTGTAGAGTATAAAAACAGAAGCAGAGCAAATTAAAAAGCTACTGAAAGCGTGATGATGAGTGTTCACATGGCTGTTGTGACACAGGCCTCCCTCAAACCTTTCTACAACACTGGCATGTTACCTGTTTGATGTATTTAAAAAAAAAAAGCAGCAGCAACTGAACAGCCAGGCATGGTGGTACACACCTAAAATTCCAGTACATGGGAGGTAGAAGCAGGAGCATCAACAGTTCAAGGACAGCCTGGGCTACATATCAAGACCCTACTTCAAAAAATGAAATTAATTTAAAAAAAAAAAAAGAAGCTACTGAAGCTGGGCACTGGTGTCTCATGTCTGTAATCCTAGCTACTCAGGAGGCAGAGATCAGGAGGATCAAGGTTTGAATCCAGCCCAGGTACATAGTTCTTGAGACCCTATCTCAAAAAAACCCATCACAAAAAAGGGCTGGGTGAGTGACTCAAGGTGTAGGCCCTGAGTTAAACCCCAGTTTGCAAAAAAAAAAAAAGCTACTGAAATAATACAAACAAAAGATGATAGCAGTATCAGATAGGATGAAGAAATGGAGATACTAAGAAAGAGTTACATTCTAGATCAAAATCTTGAAGAACAACAAGATTTATTGGTGGATTGTATTTAAGATGTACAGGACAGAGGAGCTAATACAATAAACTTAAAATGACAGAGTTTGGGAAGGTGACCAGGAAGTAGTGAAGGGGTCTGGGGGAGATGAATCAATTCAGGTTGTAATACACTTGTGCATGGAAGCAAAGCTAGGAATCTGTCTGTATAGCTATCCTTATCTCAACTAGCAAAAACACTTTGTCTTTCTTATTATTGCTTATGTCTTCTCGTCAACAAAATTGGAGAAAAGGGCAGAACAGGTTCTTCCTGGAAGCAAGGGGGGTAGGGGGGAAAGGGAGGGGGTGGGGGACAGGGGGAGAAATGGCCCAAACAATGTATGCACATATAAATTAATGAATAAAGAAAAAAAAAAGACGAGGAAAAAGAAATGTGCAGGAGAGGATGATGACGTACAAGAGGTGATGCTGAGCAGGACAATGTATGAGAAGAGCTCAAATTTGGAGTGGGATCTTAGCATGTAACATTATTTAAAACATAAGACTGGATGACAAAACATGGGAAGAGTCTGAAAAGAAACCCTGGGACATGACAAGAGTAGGCTTAAAGGAGAATGGGAAAAATGGAGATAGAAAACAGACAACTCTGGAAAATGTTTCCTTAAGGACAAGCCACCAATATAAAGTAATGGAAGAAGAAGGGGAATCCATCAAATAATGGACTCTGAATAAATGTGACAGTATGGTTCATTCTCCATGGAAATTTACCCAGAGAGACAGAAAACTTAACCCAAGACAAAGAGGAAACTTGTTAGAATATCCTTGAATACGTAAGTGCACCAGTAGAAGTTGTGGCTTAGCAAGGAGCCAATAAATCACCTAGTCACAAAACAATGCCTGAAATTATACAGAGAACTAGAATGGTAGATAAATGCATTGGTACACAACTTCCAATGGCCCAAAATGAACCCTACCTCCTGGTATTCACATTGTGATAGTCCTTTCCCACAGTGTAACAAGATGACCTGTGGGACCAAACACACACAGCAGAAATGATGGTATGTTTCATCTGAAAACAAGTACTAAAAAACACTGCTTCATCTTGCGTGCAAGCTCTCTTGAATCACTCATTCTGAGGGAAACCAGCTGCTATGACATCAGTAGCCCCATGGAGAGGCCCACAGGGTGAGGAACTGGGGCCTCCTGCCAATAACCAAGTGAGTAAGCTTAGAAACAGATTGTCCACTCCTAGTCAGCCCTTCAGGGACTGCCAATCAAGCCAAAAACTTCAGGCAACCTTATGAGAGATTCTGAGCCAGAACCAGCCAGCTAAGCCACTTCTGGATTCCAGACTTTCAGAAACTATGAGGTAAAAGAAATGCATTATTTTAAGCTACTACTATGTTGCAAGGTATTTTTTAATAACTGATAACTACTACAATGGGTGTTACTGAGTTGCAGTCACAAATTTCTAGGCATAGAATTTTTCTATGATCTTGCCAACTGTCACGGAATGAATTCAGATGACCTACCCCATGAAATACAGTCTTTAAGAAAAAGGACAGAAGGCTGGTTGTCAGTGGCTCACGCCTGCAATCCTAGCTACTCAGGAGGCGGAGATCAGGAGGATTGCAGTTCTAAGCCAGTCCAGCCAAACAGTTTGTGAGACCCTACCCCAAAAAAACCCATCACAAAAAAAGGATAATAGAGTGGCTCAAGGTATAGGTCCTGAGTTTAAACCCCAATATTGCAAAAAAAAGGTATAGCGATAAAGAAGCTAAGCCCATTTTTAACAGATACACATTTTCCCTATTGAACTACCTCAATCATTAACTGAAATCTTAGGGTATCTGTATCAACTCATTTTAGCGCATAAGATGATAAAAGAGGTCAGTTTTACACACATCTATGGTGTTTCCTTTTTCCTTTCAGAGTCTCAGGTGAAAGAAAATACTGCCACCACCACTTTCTCCTTTTTTTAAAAAAGAAATGTGGAGGGCTCCAAAAACACCTAAATCGACCATTGGCCTGAATTTATCATATACATTCAGATTCCCTCAGGAAAACTAAACTGCAATGTTTTAAAACAGGAGAGAACAAGAGACGAAAGCTGGAGGAGAAACCATATAACCTTGGTTCTTATTATAGTGATCCTTCTCTTACCTCAGACATACATGGAAATCTCTAAGAACTTGAGATATTCTAGGCAAGTCAAGGTCCCAACCTTGAGGTAACCAGAGAGAAGTAGGATTAGTTCCACATTACAAGATTTCTTTCATTTTGTTCTGATTTTAGCAGTGCTAGGGATTGAACCCACGGCCTTGCACATGCTAGGCAAATGCTTTACCACTTGAGCTATGCTCTGGGCACTTTTGTTTTTATTTGTGAGACAAGGTCTCCCCACAACTTTGCACTGGAGATCCTCCAGCCTCCACCTCCCAAGTAGCTGAAATTGCAGGCGTGCACCATCACATCTAACACTACCATTGGGATGTTAATTAATCATCTCACATTTAATCAGAGAGGAGAACTCAATTCCTTTCCCCAAAAGCCGCCCCTCCAATATACCCTACCTCAGTAAAGAGAACACCCCAACTGAATACTGTCCAAATCAAACCCTGGCTCGGGGGGTGGGGAGGTGGGGGCTTCACTAAGGTCAGAGGCTGCATTGGAGTCCACGAAGGCCCATAGTAAGATCAAATAAAAAAAATTAAATGAGGCACTGCGATGTGGATAAAAAGTCCCACAAATGAATGTGAAATGCTTTAAAAGCCTCAAGCCTGGAGACTTCCAGAATGGGGGCGGAGCTGGAGTTACGAAATTGGCTCCCTCCCACCCCCCTTTTCTGTTCTGGAGACAGGGTCTCTCTGTAGCCCAGGCTGACCTCGAACTCGAGATCCTCCAGCCTCAGCATCGCCAGCGCGCGGGGATCACAGGGGAGCCCACCGCGCGCGTCTCTGGGCCGAGGATTTTTAACGCTGCGGAGCCAAGCGGGGGCAGGGGCCTGGCCGCGCTCGGGGAGCCAGGGCGGTCAGGTTTCCTGGAGGCCTCGCAGGGCCCAGCCTGGAGTTAGCGGGGGTGGTCACAGCGTCGCATGTCGGAGGTAGGGAAGGGGACGTGCGAGGAGGCGTGGGACCCGCCGGCCACCGCCAAGACAGACACCCCTTTCGGAAGGCCGCGGCACTGAACGGGCCTCCTGGACAGCGCACGGCCAGCCCGCGCGGAATCCGCAGTGGAATCCCTCCCGCTCCCCTCACGGTCGCTCGAGCTGCGCCATGTCCCCGTCCTTACCCGCGGCCAGTGGCATCCCGGTGCTACCGGAGAAGCATGGGCCTAAAAGCATTCCAGGGGCAAAGCCCAAGGCTACGATCCCCTCCCCAGCCCCGGCCATGCAGAGCCGGCAAAGCCATCGCCGCCTCCGCCCGCGCGCCCAGGACGGCCTGTGATTGGCTGTTAGGTGGGAGGCGGTCCGTCGCACGTCTGCAGGCGCTGCGATCTGATTGGCCGCGAGGCTCTCCGAGCGCACGTCCTCTGGGTCTGGGGGGGGGACCGCGAGGCAAACTGAGAGGGCGAGGGTATTGGCAAAACCCCTGAGCCCTTAGAAGAATTTGGGGCTTTGACACTAAAGCCAAAACTGGGCGTGATCTCCCATACCGGTAATCCTGAACTGAGGAGGCTGAGGCAGGAGGATCGTGAGTTCCAGGGCAACCTAGTCTACATAGAAGACCCTGTCTCCAAAAAAAAAGAAAAAAAAATTCCAAAGCCAGGCAGTGCTTAGGGACAGGTTGGACTCAGTCCACTGGGGATAGTTGGCCCATCAGGAGTCCAGCTGTCCTAGTCCTCGGGTGTGGCCTCTTTCCCATAAAAGCACTAGCCGACTGTCCCATGATTAAGGTAGGTGCACAAGCAACTGAGCCTTGCGCCGTATGCATTTGAGGACAAATCCATGCCACCTGTTTTTGTACAGCTTGCAAGGAACAAAGAACAGATTTTACTCTTTTGGGGGGGGAGGAGAATATCATTTTATGGCATGTGAAAATTATATGAAATTCAAATTTCAATATTCATAAATAAAGTTTTGGAACCCAAGATGCCCATTCTTTGCTCTGTTTTCCTGTGACAACAACAAAATTTATTAATTGCCAGAGACCATATGCAGTATTTGCTCTCTGGATCTTTAGAGAAAAGGTTTGCTCACTCTAGGTTTATTTGCCGCTTTTGATTTTTTTCATTTTTCGACTCTTTGATTTTTTTGGAACTTCTTTTTGCAGTGCTATGCATGCTAAGCAAATGCTGTACAACTGAGCTGCGTCCTCCAGTTTTTGATTTTTTTTAATTGCCCAATTCTGCTAGAAGTTGTCTGTTTCCGTAACCTTTTTTTAAAAAGAAACTTATGGTTTTATCAATCTGTTCTTTTCCATTTATTTTTCCCACTCTTTATTATTTCCTTCCATCCTGTCTCTGTAAGTTTGCTCTGTTGCTCCTATTTGCAATGTTTTTACATAACTCTTATTTAGAAACATAATTTTCTTGTATTTAAGTGATTCTTTTATCAATTTCTAATTAGATTGCATTACAGCCAGATCACACAGTCTAAATATTATTGGCTGCCTGCATTTGAAGCTCTCTGTTCAGTCAAGTATGCCAGTCAAAATGAAGAAATCATGGATGTGAAAGAGATATGTACAATGGCTAAGGCGTATGTATGTGAAATGATCTCTTTTTGGCTGCACAATAATTCAAATATCCGTTAATAAGTGCTATTAAGTTCTATTTTTCTAAGCTCTGGACTTTATTCAGATTTTACTAGTTTTTCCAGTATCCTTTTGCTGTTTCAGTCCTACTCAAGATGCTGAATTACACTTAATCATTGTGTCTCCTTAGCCTACTTAGGTCTGTGACAATTTCTTAAGCTTTCCTCACTTTTCATGACCTTGACAATTTTGAGTCAGGTTTTTTGCAGAATGTCTCTCAATTTGGGTTTGATGTTTTTCTCGTGGTTACACTGGCGTTTTTAGAGGTATATTGGGGACATCATGTGTCCTCATCACGTCTCATCAAGGATATATGCAATCAATATGACTTATTGATTTCCCTACAATAAAGTACTATTTCCCCCTTTATACTCTACTCTTTGGAAAAAAGCCCCCAAATCCTGCCCACATTAAGGGAAGTGGCATAAGGTCTCATTGAGGAAAAGTACAGAAATAAATTGGATTTTGTAAAGCTTTGTTTCTCCTGTCTGTAGACAGTGCTGACTTGGATCATTAACTTTTCAAATTTCCTTGGTCATTTTTCTTCTGAGACAGGGCCATGCCATGTTCATACTTTGATCCTCCATGTATCACACTTGCATACCACATGTCAACATTTCCTCTTTTTAAATACAGTCATCATCCTGCAGTATCCATAGAGGACCGGTTCCAGGGTCCCCATGTAGATGGCAAACTGTGGATGATCAGGTCTCTAATATAAAATGACCTGATATGTTTGCATACCATGCAGCATTCTTTGGCATACTTCATGTAATTTCTAGATTTCTAACAATATGTAATACAGTGTAAATGCTATGTAAATAGCTGTTATGCTCTATTTTTAGGGAATAATAGTAACAAAAAATGTCCCTGCATTTTAATTCAGATATAGCTTTCAAGATAGTTTCAATCCATGGTTGTTTGAACCCATGGGTATGGAATCCAGGGATAGACAGAGCTGACTGTATCTGCATTTAGAAATGCAAATTTCCACAAACTGCTTTATTCCCATCCTTTGAATTTTGTGATTGTTTTCAATATCACTGAGTTCAACATTTTCCTTCTTCCACTGGGATTTCACAGAGGAGCTCTGGACTATTTCAGATGAGCACCAGGACCATGGTGAAGTAAGCAAGGACATAGAGCACTACATTAAGGAGGCATTCACTCACTCCAGGTTCCTGGAAGCCCAGGGAGAACAGTTCTGCACCTTAGGCTCCTTGCTTCCCTTGGCCTGGTCAGAGCCCTATTTATCTGTATTGCCTAGTTTCCAAACTTTTTGGAATTTTTACATGACCATTCTATTATTGATTTTCAGTTCAATCCCTCTGCAGTCAGAGGGTAGCTACAAAAAGCCCCAGAGCTGACAACCCAATCAGTGGTGAACTACTGTACCTGAGTTTGAGAATGAGACAAGATCTATGTTAATTAATTCAATGAAACCCCTATAGTAGCCAAGACAATTTTGAACTCCAAATCTGATTAAATTAACTACCAGATACAGAGACTTAATGCAAAGCTAGAATAATTAAGACAGTATGGCATTAACACAAGACAGAGAGCTGGACAAATGGAAAAGTCCAGAAACATATGTGTAGTCCACAAAGGTTACATTCATTACAGTGGAGAAGGAGTGGTCTTTAGGAAATGGTGTTGGTTGATTTCAATGTTTGTGATAAAATAACTGTGATGCCATGATTTCTCATTTGAGAAGGTTCAAAAAACAACATGTAAAAGGCTAAAAAGTAAAGCTTCCACCAAAAAAAAAAAAATAGGAATATCTGTCCTTGGTAAAAAAATAATTTCTTAAGGAGCATACATTTCACCACCCTTAACATATATATGTACATTTTTGAAACCACCATACAGACCAAGGCTGGGACATTTGCAGTGTCCCAACATTTCAACACTCCCCTTCCAAGTTGACAAACAGCCCTGTTTTAAAAGGGTTGGAGGGAGTAAGACTTGAATAGATGCTTCCTAAAAGAGGATGATATCCAAGTGACAAATAATGTAATGAAAAAGATATTTTCAAGATCATTACTCATCAGAGAAATGCAAATTAAAACCAGGATGTGGTATCAGTATAACTTCAAGAGAAGAACATTAATTAAAAGGACAGTACCAAGCGTTGGATTCCTAGCAGTGAGTCATGCCCCCCCAGCCTTATAATGACATTCTCAATATTGGTACTGGGCATATAAGTTTTTCAATCATTTTGGAAATGTATTCGGCAATATCTACACTAAGATGCTGAATATATGCAATTCCTGCATTTCTCATAACTATATATAAGATGAGAAAAAATGACCTACCAGAAAACATACACAAGTTTATAGCAGCCTTATTCAAAATAGTCTAGAATCAGCCCCAAAGTTCATCAACAGTAATGCAGATACATATTACTGTGTCATCATCATTGAATAGAATTCTACCCAGCAATGAAAAAGATCATGGTACTACTACATATAGCAAGAATGCATCTCATTTGTTGAAAAGAAGCCAAAGACAAGAATCTACTGTACGATTCCATTTATTTAACATTAAAAAATAGTTGCCTAGGGCTGGTGGAGTGTCTCAAGTGGTAGGGTTCCTGACTAGCAAGCAGGAGGCCTTGAGTTCAAATCCCAGTACCACAAAATAAAAAATTAAAATTAAAAAAAAATAGTTGCCTAGCATGGGCAAGGCCCTAGATTTGATCCTCAGCAATACACACACACACACATGCAAAAACACAAAAGCAGGAAAAACCAGTTTATGATGGTAGAGGTTAGAATAATGATTACTTTTGTTGCAGGCTTTGAGTGGAAAAGGACATGAAGATTTCTGAGCTATTTCTTGACAGTAGGGAGCTAGAAGTGTCATTGTACAACCTGACCCTTGGTGATATTTGCTTGTTAGCATCAGCCATGAAATACAGCTGGCCTAGCCTCATTTCTGCCTTACAGTTTCTATAAGTGGGTAGGACATATTTTTAGTCAGAACCCTTGCTGCAAGGGAGTCCAGAAAATCTAGTTTTCATACTCTTCCTCTTTTTAGTTTTCACAGGTGACAGGCAAGGGTCAGTGTTGCTCAAAACAATGGATGCTATGCCTCTTGTTGAATGAACTGAGGTTTGAACAACAACCTTTGCTTCAGGAGGCAATCCTTCCAGGGGCTCTGGCTTTTTAAATATTTGATGACTCTTTGTTTTGTGTTCTGTTTCCTCCTTCAAACTCGAAAACTGTAGCCAACACTTGGAACATGGAAAGGCACTCTTCTTGCTCCAGTGCCTCCAACAATGATTCATGTATGACTTTGAAGTTTTGAAAATTTTGAGACAAAATAGACAAAGCAACTTGTTGGTGTTTTCATGGAATGTTCTAAAATGTGTTTCCACATCAGCAAATGCTGATGACCTGATGACCTGAAATTGCAAACCTGGCACACATAGGGCATCTCCCCCAGCTTATGGTTGTCCTTCATGTGTTGTAAGGAAAGCTGATCTGTTTCGAATGACAACTCACAGATTTTGCAGACAGCAGAGGGCTCCTGGGTAGTGTGTGCACACTGTCAATGTGACACTGCAGCTGGAAGGGAGTGGGAAACTGCCGGTGGCAGTGCTGGCAGGTGGTGTGGTTTTCCCAGCTGTCACTCCTCTGCTTCTCAAGTTCCAAATGATGCTTCATGTGATTCATAAATTTAACATTTTTTAGAACTTTGAAGCAGCTGACGCATTTAAAGGTTGTGTAAGTCTTCTGTTCTGGCTGCCCATCTCCTCGATGTTGTCCATAGTAAAAGTCACTGAGTAACAGGATCAGATTTCCATTCTTGGGATCAGAGGTCATGTTGTTTTGACTTGCTAGGCTTGAAAAATCTGTTTTTACCAGCCCTTCAAAACTATTTACTGGTTCTGAATTCCCAAGAGCAAAAGGTACCTTTTCATTGGTATAAGTCCAAGGAAATGTTCTATTTTGAACATGTGTTGACCAGAAGCAGACACCTTCTGTGGGTGTGCCTGTGTCCATTACAGGAGAGATGCTGGAAGGGATCACAGATGAAGCATGTGTACTTGGGACTTCATATCTGAATTTAGACCTGTTGGGATTTATGCTGTTTACATCTGATGTGGAAAGTTGCTTTGAATCACAAGGATTCTCATCTCTGCCTCCTAAAGAAAGTGCAGTTCCTGCTAGACACCGAGTTCTTGGAGAAAACAAACCTGATGAATTGAGGGGTACTTGTGGTGAACTCTTATTATAGCCAGGCTTAGATGAAGGCTCATTAGCAATAGGACTATGCATTGATGTCCATTCAGACTGAGAAATCAGAGTGAAACCCACTGCTTTGGCCATTGGGGTCATATGAATTTCAGGCTGCAGTTCATGAGCAGGATCTTGACTGAGGTAACCTTTCTTTCTTTTTCAGCTTGGGGTGGCTCTGTTCAAAATATTTGAAGTAACTGGTTTTGCTTTTGAAATCACCCTGACAAGAGGGCATCAGCATCTTCATTTACATGTTTCATGCTATTGAAGATCAGCTCAGCATCATCATCTTTGTCCCTCTGACTGTATTCTCTCTGATGCTTCTGTGGTGGTTCTGGTTCTTGTTCTTTTGTACTCAAGAAGTGATCTGCCATTTTAGAACTACTTTTTTGGTAGAAACAAGTGATTCCTTCAACTTCCAGAGCTGTCTTTATCAATGGCCACCTTGAATGCAAGCATGTGAAAGCATTGTTTATTTCAGATGACATTTCATTACCTTATTTAATTCTCCTTTAAAAAAGAGAACAATTGACATCATTGTTTTGCACAAAAGAAAACAATCTTGATTTTATTTTTCAACGGTAGGGATCAAAACCCAAGGCCACATGCTTGCCAGGCAAGTAATCTACTACTGAGCTACACCCACAAGTCTTGAACTATTTAAGGCACATGACAATATAGGGAACTCAAAAAACTAAACTCTCCCAAAATTAATGAACCAATAAAGAAATGGACAAGTGAACTAAACAGAACTTTCTCAAAAAAGAAATTCAAATGGCCAAGAAACACATGAAAAAATGCTGACCATCTCTAGCCATAAAGGAAATGCAAATTAAAACCACACTAAGATTCCACCTCACCCCTGTTAGAATAGCCCTCATTAAAAACACCACTAACAACAGGTGTTGGCGAGGATGTAGGGAAAAAGGAACCCTTTTATACTGCTGGTGGGAATGTAAACTGGTACAACCACTCTGGAAAAATATTTGGAGGCTTCTTAAAAATCTAAACATAGATCTACCATATGATCCAGCAATACCACTCTTGGGGATATACCCAAAGGAATGTGACACAGGTTACTCCAGAGGCACCTGCACACCCATGTTTATTGCAGCACTATTCACAATAGCCAAGTTATGGAAACAGCCAAGATGCCCCACTACTGACAAATGGATTAAGAAAATGTGGTATCTTGGAGATATACCCAAAAGACTGTTACTCCAGAGGCACCTGCACACCCATGTTTATTGCGGCACTATTCACACTAGCCAAGTTATGGAAACAGCCAAGATGCCCCACCACTGACGAATGGATTAAGAAAATGTGGTATCTATACACAATGGAATTCTATGCAGCCATGAAAAAGAACGAAATGTTATCATTCGCTGGTAAATGGATGGAATTGGAGAACATCATTCTGAGTAAGGTTAGCCTGGCCCAAAAGACCAAAAATCGTATGTTCTTCCTCATATGTGGACATTAGATCAAGGGTAAACACAACAAGGGGATTGGACTTTGAGCACATGATAAAAGCGAGAGCACACAAGGGAGGGGTGAGGATAGGTAAGACACCTAAAATATTAGCTAGCATTTGTTGCCCTCAACGCAGAGAAACTAAAGCAGATACCTTAAAGCAACTGAGGCCAATAGGAAAAGGGGAACAGGTACTAGAGAAAAGGTTAGATCAAAAAGAATTAACCTAGAAGGTAACACCCACGCACAGGAAATCAATGTGAATCAACTCCCTGTATAGCTATCCTTATCTCAACTAGCAAAAACCCTTGTTCCTTCCTATTATTGCTTATACTCTCTCTACAACAAAATTAGAAATAAGGGCAAAATAGTTTCTGCTGGGTATTGAGGAGGGAGAGGGAGGGGGTGGAGTGGGTGGTAAGAGAGGGGATGGGGGCAGGGGGGAGAAATGAACCAAGCCTTGTATGCACATATGAATAATAAAAGAAAAAGGAAAAAAAAGAAAAGAAAATGTGGTATTTATACACAATGGAATTTTATGGAACCATGAAGAAGAATGAACTCTTACCATCTGCAAGTAAATGGTTAGAACTGGAGAACATCATTCTGAGTGAGGTTAGCCTGGCCCAAAAGATCAAAAATTGTATGTTCTCCCTCATATGTGGACATTAGATCAAGGGTAAACACAACAAGGAGACTGGACTCTGATCACATGATAAAGCAAGAGCACACAAGGGAGGTATGAGGATAGTAAGACACTCAAAAAACTAGATAGCATTTGTTGCCCTCAATGCAGAGAAACTAATGCAGAAACTTTAAAGCGACAGAGGCCAATAGGAGAAAGGGACCACAAACTAAAGAAAAGGTTAGTTCAAGAAGAATTAATTTAGAATGTAACAAATATGTACAGGAAAGCAATGCGAGTAAACTCCCTGTATAGCTATCCTTATCTTAACTAGCAAAAACCCTTGGTCCTTCCTATTATTGCTTATACTCTCTCTTCAACAAAATTAGAGATCAGGGCAAAATAGTTTTTGCCTGGTAACAAGGAGGTAGAGGTGGGAGAGGGAAGGAGCAGAGGGAAAGGGAGGGGGCAGAGGGAAGGGGGAAGAAATGACCCAAACATTGATGCACATATGAATAAAAGAAATAAAAAAAGAAAAACATGGAAATGGTACCTATAAAAAATAATAAGGCACATGACAATTCCAAATTTATCTCCTCCTTCCCCAAGTCTTCTGCACAAGATTTAAGGAAGTACAATTCAAATATTTCAGATTGTGTGTCAGGAGAGGCCTCACTGGCTTTTCCCCAGTCCCAGAAGTACCCACTTAGAAATCTAAGCTTTGTAACTAACTTTAACAAAGCTTAGCTCTCAAACACCTGTTGCTCTTCTCAGAGCTGTTCCTTTTCTCAGAGCAGCCATCACTGGATATCCTCAAAGAACGAGTTCCAGGACCACTACCATATCCCCCATCTGGTATACCAAAATCCTCAAGTCCCTCATGTAAAATGACATCCTCCTGTGTACTTAATATACATGATTCAGTGTAAATGCCATGTAAGTAGTCGGTATACTGGATTGTTTAGGAAATAGAAGAAAAAAGTCTGTACATGTTCTACACTGATGATTTTTCTAATATCTTGATGGGTGGGTGGTGAATCCAAGGATTAAGAACTCATGGATAGACAGTGTAAACCTAGTTGCTCAGTTCACAGACTTTGGGTTCATTCTTTGCCTCACACTCTCAGCCTCTCCCTCTGTCTCTTTAAATATCCTAATTGTACTGATTACAGAAAATGCTCAGGACTACTTCATAGAAATTATACTTTATCTTTACATTACTAGAATATTTGTGGTAGACATGCATTTCTAAATATTTCAACCCATAAACCCAGAACATTAACGGTAGCCACTAGCAAACTAAAATGGTGCAGTCAGTCTGGGACATCTTTGTTTGTTTTGAGACAGGTTTCTCACTATGCAGCCCAGGCTGGTCTCTAGTTCATGGTTCTCCTTCCTAAACTCCTGAGTGCTGGGATTACAATTGTATGCCACCATGCCCAGTCAGTATGGGATATTTTATCACCTCCAGAGAATCCCCTACAGGGCTGTCACCCACCCACCACATCTTCGGTGAGGTCAGCACACAGGCCTCTCTGCAGCCTCCCCTAGTCCTTCATAATGCACGTCCACCTGGCCAGCCTTTGTGCCCTTCAGATTTAGGGTTCAGCTATGACAACATGGGGATCTTTAACTCTGGTGAGAAACTGGTTTTCAAAGGAAGAACTTAGGTGAAGAAAATCTTTGACAAATATTTAAGTATCAAGAATTTTCAGAAATGAGAAGTCTTTGAATTGAAATGATCTGTGAACAAAACTTCTTCCTGTTGTCTGTAGATCTTCTGCTGGAGCTTGGCGGTTGCTCTACTACTGGAGGGATGACATGGTCAGGCTTGTTCAGTCCACAGGACAGGCCCACCTTCTGTCTGAGAAGGTTCTCATCCTACACCCTCACAGCGTTGTTCTGTTGTGTGTGGCGGGGGGCACAGTTAGGTAGAAAAACGTGCAAAACAGTCAGACCTTTTCAATCTGGGCCAGAAAAGAGCACCCAAATGCAGCTATGTCATTTCTACTTTCCTGCCAGCCTCTTCCCCAAGACATAAATCAAAGCTGCAGCAGAGCTTGGACAGAGAAGAGAAGCCAGAACCAGGCTGCCAACCAAGGAAAGACTGCTGTCTCAAGGGCTACCTCAGGGCTGGGAGATCTTGTTGTGGACATGAATACCATGTCCCCAAGGGTTTTGAATATGACAACTGATGGCATCTTAGCTCATAAACATTGTGTGAGGCAATATATCATTACTGAGTTACACATTATACAATGTATACATGTACTGAAATATCACATAGTGCCCCATAAAGATGTAAAAATTTTATGAGTCAATTTTAAAAAATGATAATTTAAAAATAGAGAAAAGCACCCAAAGAATTAAACAAGTAAGTTTTTTTTTCAAGAAAATAAGATTCATCAAAGGATTTTAAGTAAGCTAGTGAGACCAGAGTATTCAAACCAGGAAATCAAACAGATCCTCTGTTATTTGCTATTCACTGAGATGTGTGGTGTGAGAGTTCCAGGAAGCCTCCTCTCTGATTTCCTCATACTTCTGTCATCATTCTGTCCAAAGATGGCAGGAGAATCAACTGCCCAAACTCTATCAGGCAGCAAACAGGTTTAGTCCATTCTCCAGGATTTCTTCTCACTCCTCCTTCCTTCAGAAGCAGAATCCT